GCGGGGCTGCCGCTCAGCCCGCCGCGCTCTTCTTCTTGAGACGGCAAACCTGCAGCGCCTCTGCTGGTCGCGGCCAAGTAGTGCACCCCGGTGGCCATTTCCATCTTTGGCACTGGTCGAGCGATTGGTCCAAAATGTTCGGAGGAGTAGTGCACGCGCGACGTTCGCCCAAGCCTCCATTTCTCCGCTCGCTGAAAAACGGGACCCCTGTTTTGCGTGTCATTCATAAGTGTCTCATTAAGGGCAAGGATGTTAGCTCAATGCTAACTGTACATGTCCAGTTGTTAGCATTGAGCTCACAGGTGGACGCAAAGAATGTTCGTCTTGTGCTGACCTTACTCATGAGCTCGTTAGCGTTGAGGTAAGAGATCCGTGCCGGGAAGGTTAGCATTGAGCTAACAGAAAGAGGCTCACGATGTTAGCTTTAAGCTCACGTCAACCAAGGTGAGCAGTGAAATGTCAACGATCGAGCGCATGCTCGGAATGTTAGCCTCGAGCCCGATAGATTGTTAGCGTTGAGCGAACAGCGTGTATTCGCAGTGAGATCGCGGGCGCTTGGCCCACTTTTTCGAAGATTCCCCATTTGACTTTGTCGCGCTTCCCAGGCAAATGTTGAGCGGTGTCTTTTTCGATCCCTGCCGACTTTGACGCTGTCGTCCTCCAGAGCGCGACATCAAGGTGGTGCGTCCGCTGTACAGCGTGGAGGTCACGGAGACGGAGACGGCCAAGTTTGAGACGGAGATTTCCGAGGACGATGTCCCGGGACACTGGAAGCTGAAAGGAGAAGCGTTGCAGCAGTCGGCCGTGAGCGCTCGTCTTTTGTTCACGTTCACAAATTCACTTCAAAGGAACGGAAAAGCCGCTTTTACTTTCCTGCACTTCTTGAAAACGCGCCAAAATAAGAAGAATGAGAACAATCCACTGCATCGCTTTGTGCGCGCGTGTTGTCCACCCCACGACACACACGGGCGGATGACGCTAATAACTTTGACATTTGGACCGTTTGTCTGCCGTCCGTCAGGATGTGGAAATCAAGGCGGAGGGCCCCAAACATCTTCTGATCCTCTACAACGTGCGCATGGACATGGCGGGAGGTGTGGAGTTCTCAGCGGGCAACGCCAAATCAAACGCTCAGCTGCGAGTGAAAGGTGAGCGCGCCGGGCAGTCACGGCGGGCGGGCGGGCGCCGCGTTATCCGCAGCGATTGGACGCTGAGGCGCGCCCTCGCTCTCCTCAGCTCGAGTCATACGCCTCCTGCGGCCGCTGAAGGACGTGACGGTGACGGCCGGGGAGACGGCCGCCTTCCGCTGCGAGCTGTCCTACGAAGGCATTGTCGTCGACTGGTTCCTGGCGGGGAACAAGATGGAGGCCGGCGAGCGGGTAGGACCTCGCGCCTATTATTTCGGGGGGGGGGGGTTGTTGTTTTTTTTTTTTCCCCCCATTCCTTTTTCTTGTCAACCGACGCGATGTCAAAGGCGTTTCCATGTGCGCCCAAGTTCAAAATAGCCTCACCTCTGACTGGCCCTCGAGGCTCCCTCCCTAATATGGAGCTTCAGCCGCCAGGAGGTCCAAAGCCTTTTGCGCAGTTGGCCTCATCCGCTCCAAGCTCGCTTGGGACATTCTTGGAAGGGGCTTCTTTCAGACCCTTTCACCTGAAAGCTTCATGTCCCGTTTTAAGCTTCAACCACCAAGTTTGAAGTTCAAGTGGAAGCGAAAACTCCCGTTGGAGGGTGAAGCCCACTTCCGGATGAATTCACCTTATTTCTTGACGTGGCTTTCTCAATTCTGGATTGAAATAGTCTCACTCGAGTCCTCGTCTGGAGTTAAATGAAGGAAGACTCGAGCTTTTCCGAGGTCTCAAATGAGCTTGAAATGAAGGCCGGCCCGGGGCGGGATGAACTTGACCGCGAAGGCCGAACGCTTCGCCGCCAAGGGTGAAAACGTAAAGACGAGGCAGGCCCAATAGATAGACCAGTATCACGCAATGGATACAGACGTCACAAATAAGAACACGGCCGGCCGGGTTTGATGTTCATGTTAAAATGCAAACCCGAACTTGACACGTTTTCACTCCCTGTCACGTGACGTTGAGTCGAAGCCATTTTGGTTTTCCGGCCTTCAGGCCAGATGGCCGTTTGCATCAGAGCCGCCACGGCCGCCGTCTTCCGGTCGGGTGATGCGCTTTTTTTTTTTTTTTTAGTTGTCCGAAGGTCCGCCCGGTACGTCGGCAAACGAGAAACGCCCGCCGTGACTCTCATTGTTGGCTTCCCGCAGGTGAAGATTCAAAGAGACGGCCGAATTCACGCTCTGACGGTCGGGGATGTGAAGCTGTCGGAGGCGGGCCAAGTCAGATTGACCGCCAAGGATTTCCAGACTCGGGCGCAGCTGATCGTCAGAGGTGAGCTCCCGGCGCCGGGCTCCGCCGTCCCCTTCGCGCTCCGCGCTCACG